GTTATAAAGTATGCTGCTTTGCTTTGAGATCAGCAGAAATAACTGCAGTTGTCTGATTTTTTTAAACAGAGAAAACAGGTTATTTTAGACATCTCTGTTATAGATTTTTCTGTGTACATAATGTGACTTATGGGGTTTTTCACCCAACATTGTCAAAACGTTATGATCTGATAATTTCACCATGCCTTGATGTCACTAGTCACACATTTAGCTGCAACATTTGATCACATGTATGACAGAAAAAAACCCACAGTGGTTTTATAGCAAAAGGCATTTGTGTTCCTGAATTGTGGCCGACATGTAATTATATAACTTTGGGGGGAAGAAACATGCTTACACTTATTCAGCGTTTCCTGAAATTACTAAACAGAAGTTTGTTATTTCAGCAAAAAATTAAATATCCGAGAAAACATTGGTACAGGTTGAATTAACTTGTTTAGAATTACTAGCAAAGAAGTTGAAAAGACATCTTAAAAAGATGAAGCCTGTTGGGACAAGTCTGCAATGGGTTGGCCTTATGTTACATTTCTTAAAGGGATTTTCCTTTCAATGACGCATCTCAAAAACCAAAAACAAGCACAGAAGCCGACTTTTCAATAAAAGACTAGTTCAGGCAGAAAATCTCCAGCATAATTTTCTTATTATATAGGACAAAAATGTATCAATGTTCATCTAAATATAAAAGAGACCTACGTCCAGGTGGTCTTTTTTCTAATGCTAATTCTATTGGCAAGCTGGTGCTAAACATTACTGGTAAATCATTTAAAAGACCATACAAATTGTAACATGTTCTTGATAACATCTTGAAGAGAATAGTCAGATTATAAGTGGATTATAGTGTATTTTAAATGCTTCCACGCATAAACAACATTGTACATTTTATTTTGCTCCATCTCTTCTGTAAACGGGTGCATTGCAAGAAAAGGGTTTCCCAAAAGAGATTAATAAAGTAATTCTGATTCAGAAAAGTCTAAAAGATGTTTTTTTTGCTTTTTTAATCTCTAGTTTCAATGTTGCTGTAAAACAATCAGAGTTACAGCATGTCCCCCAAGTGGACCCACAGCATCAATTATGAATGATGCACTTCAATACACCGTAATGCATCTAGGTTTACTTTAGGCTTTGAAACACTAACCTGCGCGTTCAGGAAATCAACACAAGAGGCTAAACTACAGACAATATCTGTAATCCTCTTATTCCTGTTGATTAGCTAAAAAAAAAAAAGTTGGAACAGTTTAGCATCCATTTTCCATTAAAAAATGTTGGCTGCAAGCTTGGAGAAGTCTAAGAGTTTTTTTTTTTTTTTACATATTTACAGTTGCACTGTTTGACTTGCTCCGCTCTACCCACGACTATCAGCCAAATCCACAATGCTGCTCATCTGCCCTAACACTAACTCATTTATCTTCTCCCTGGAATGCTGTGATATCACTGAAGAGCCACAGCCAGAGCTGAACAATAAACTGATAGAGACTACAGGGTTCAAATGGACCGGTTTCAACCCAAGCAGCAAACAACATATCCCCTTTTACTGCACCCACACCGATGCTGATAATCTATGCACATTTGAAGACTTGTAATATAAGGAACTAATGAAGAATTTCAGAAAGACTATAAAACTAAATGTTTCGATTATAAATTTGTATTCACATCCATCCATTAGTTTCAGTGTAACATAAAAAGATAACAATAAAACCCCAATTACAGCAGACAAAAAAACATCCTAAATACCACTTCAGCAGAGGCCAGCTGCAAGTATGTCCCCTGTTATTTCAACACATGTGTTTCGATTAGGATCTGAAACAGACATCTATTGATAAATAAAGGGGAAAGAGGCATTTGAATTAAAAAGATGTGCTAAGGAGCTTGTGATTGATCATGAGACATGAGTCATGTCCTGCTGTATGAAGCTGGACTTGTTAGTTTCATTTCCTTTTAGACTACATAACATCTACATCTTCAGGTATGTACATAGTTCCTTTCTTTTGTCTAGCAACGCAATCGCAAACCACAAAACAGATTACTTCAAAGATATCCTTAATGAGGTCAAAGGGAACCATTTGGTAAAGTCAAACTTCCTGTAGTTTCTTTACAATTACATAGGACTCACTTATGAGATTTTGATCTTCATTTTTCCATGGCTGTGTAAGCCTCTGTTTGATAGTATCATAAGTAAACTATTTGAGCAAGCCTTGCCTTATTTTTTGAAATTGCAAACTAGCCAAGCACTCACGCATACCAACTCCAAAGTGCAAACATTTGGAATAGGACTGTGACCAAGGAAAATCTGGGTGGACACCCCAAGCTGGAAAAACATAAAAAAAATAATAAAATAAAATAAAATAAACGACTACCAACAATTATACTTAAACTTCTTATTAGTATGGCAACGGACAAATATTGGTGCACATAAGATGAACTGGATTAAAATAACTCTTCAATGATATACACATTACATGCATTATGACTACATAAATCTCACTCCACAGTAAAAAGACTTTTGGGTGCATTGGAGAAATGGGAATTTTGCAGTTCCACTCTAATAATATTTATAAAAGTCCTTTTCAACACATCATTGCAGCCCCGAATTTGGAACAATATGAAAAAGTACACTATTTTTACAAATACATGTGGTCCAAAAATGTGATTTGGACATTATTATTCATAATATTATAGTTAAGTTGTCACCATCTGCAAACTCATCAGAGATGTGAAAACAGAAAATAAAACAATTAATACACAATCTTAAATAAATTCACCTAAAAATATGTAAACCAAAATTTCCCTCTAAAATTAACTCTTGTAAATATAGTGTATTAGAGCATGAAGTCAACCCCTGTATTGAATTTGCCATCTAAATCATTAATTACAAATAGCTTTACATATGAATACATACAATATATATATATGTGCTAAAGAATGATAATACTAAAATATTAAGGCTAGGTTGGCTGGAATTGAGCTATAAATCACTGACATCTCCCTGAGCATCATGGAGGAAAATCACGCCCACATGAGAAGAGAGGCCAAAAAAAAAAAAAAAAAGCAAAAAGAACACTTTAAAAATGATAAATGTTATAATTTCAAAAAGCTTTAATTTAAGGGTGCACAACCTTCATATAAAATTCAAAGCAAATCAAAGCTGGTAATGGCAAAAGTTAGATATGCACAAGTGAAATTAGCCAGGATATTTATTCTTTTGTAGGATTGACTCCAAAGTGATCAACATGATAAACATTGGAAAAAAAATGTCATCTAACAGTGTTAGAATCAGAGTGGTGTCTAACTTCTGCAAAAGTAATATGGTTATGGTAAAAAGATTTGATCCATGTCTTATATATTACCAAAAACATAACTATTATATCTAATCCTAATTTTATACATCTTTATTATACAAGTAGAAAAGTACAAATTTAAACAGACATGGAAGATGTATCCATCTAAGGTCTAACGTACTCTACTCTTACACCCACTTTTTAAACTTAGGCTACATTTTAATCTCTATCAAGCAACTGCTAATTCTGCAAAAACAAAAAAAAAGTGTAAATCTAGTTGGGTTTCATTTGTTGCAGACATGTTGCATTTCCTTACTAATATTGATGCTTTTGGTATGTTTTGGATAAGCACGCCTACTTTTTAATGCAACATTACTGATGTATTAAAATATAAAACAGCTCACATGGATCTTGTTATAGGCTCTGCATGCGTGAAGGATAGCTGAGGGCATTAATGATCTTAGCCAAGCTCTAACTAGTCATCCTTTCATGATGAAACCCTGACAGTATAAATCTATAAGAAGCTAAAAGGCCACTTTGATTATCTATATAGGCATGTAAAAACATCACCCCTTTTCTTTCTGCCAATATAGACCTCAATTCATGATTGTCGAGCACAAGCAGTACAATTCTCCAACTCTTGTTAAGTTTGTTTTTTAATCATTTGGTCGTTGCTGCTATTTAACCAATAAATCTCTATTAAAATTTCATTAGCAAGAAATATCCGATTACGTTGAGCAGAAGAATCTACCAAATTCCACAGACATGTCCTTAATAGTACTAAAACTATTAAGCTTTTAAATTGCTGCAAAAAGAAAATATTAAAATATCTGAACTCATAAGTTGAAAAGCTGAAATGGAACAGTTTGTTCAGAAATGTTAGCCAACGCTAGTAGTAATGCAACGGTTTTACGCAGTTGTTGTTCTGACAGCATCAAATAAGTTAGTTTCAAGAAAGAGTCAACTACCCATATCTAACACGACAGAAATACCACAAGGTTTAATTTTGGACATTATTAGATAAATTGTTCACAAATATTAAAAAAGCAACTTACTTTGGTGAAATTGTCCACCGTCTCAAATAGAAGCTAGCAGTCAACACTGAGGATAGCTAACCTAGCTCTTCGAACAGTTTCTATCGGGAAACTCCTTTGTACTTTTAGTCTAAGGTCTGCCAACGATGTACAAAAAAAACGCAACAAAAAAATAAAGTACTTCGTTCAATTATTTTCCTCGCTTAGTACAGATAAACATTCCTCCGCCACCGCGGTTAAGCCTGGCTGAGTAAGCCGGTGGAACCACTGTGGTCAACTAAAACCAGTACGACCGCAAGTTTAGTTAGTTCAGTATAGAAATGCTTACGTAGAACGCGCCTGCTTCGTTCGCTTCTAGTCTTTGGTTGGGTTCTAGTTCGAGGGTTTCTATACTGCCTGTACTGCGCATGTCTGTAGCATGCAAAACAACAGACACGCTTTTGTTATTTTCCCCTCTTCTATTAAAAGCCAAAGCTCATATTTCGCACAAACGACTAAAATTTATGTTTAGCATACTGTTCCAAGTTAATATTAGGGTAAGTAATACTTGTATCTTATAGCTTTTTCGTTTTCTTGAGGGATTTGTCGCCTTCTGATGACGTGCCTTTGACATTGGTGTGGAGGAGATTACGACGGTTAAATGTGGTATATGTTAAAATTAGGCTTTTTTTTTTTTACTCACTCTGATGCTCGAACACATATATTCTTTTAAAAATACTATTATCAAATTAATTTAGCCGTATTTACTCCCACTAGGTTACCATGTGAAGTTATATAATGCTAGCATTTAGCTTATTAGCTGCTAATCTTTTTCATTGTATTTGTAGCTCACTAAAGGACTGCTAGTGTAATCATGGCTTTTCCACGATTTTCTCCGCTCCTCGCTCAGACCTCTGCAGTTTTTCAAAGAAATTTCAGGTAAGGATATCTTATCTTTAGAAAAAAATAAAGTTTGAACGTACAATCCAGGGCTGTTAACTCTCACCCATCCCAGTGTCTTACACTCTCACTCAATATTCCCAATTTCTCACTCTAAAAAATAACATTAAAACTCTTTTCCGTCCCAGTTATGTATTGTATAGTACTTGGATAAATATGAATAGAAATACAGCAGCTTGCCTAAATTATTGATGTGGAGACTGAGTGTAGGATCACATCTAATAGTTTGTTTTCTCTTTACCTGGTGCTTTTTTAGTCTCAGTTTTAGTCCATGTTTTGCTCAAGTTAAATAATTATTGCTCAGTCTAGTTTAATAATCTCCCTTTGGCATTTAGGTTTGCCTCTCAAACCCATAGGAGGTCCACAAAAGAGAAAAAGAATCATTGCATTTTATTTTTCAAAAGATCAGCCACCCGAGAAAAGACCAACCACATTCAGAGAGGATGTGCAGAGCAACTCATTTATCCTGGATTCATAGAGGAGGAACCACAGGGATGTCTTTTTTATTGCTTATCTTATTCATTTATCTTTATTTTGGTCCATTGAATATGTTTAAAAACTTAATTTCCATCACACCTTCCAATTGAAACATCCAGAAAAGTGCTGTCTCCTGTCATGGTGAGCTTTTGTCAATTTTAAGATTGATTGTAACTAATGACATAAAGAATTGAGCTTTTTAATCCTTAGCTTATTGCCATATAATCATACACAGTGTAGTTTGCATAGGTTTCGGTTGCACTGGTTCCTGTATTGGTGCCAGTCTTCTAGAAATAGCTTATTAGTTCCCTATTGTTTAATTTACTTGAACTGCAGAGAATAGTTAATGGGCAAAGTTGTGAAATTCTTAAAGTATATTTAAGATGCAAGTATTTTAGTAGGGCCATTCTGCTTTACTTCAGTTCTCTACAAATCACCGGAAAGGAGAAAATAATGTGTATCGTGAGAAAAAGTTTCCACATAACTACAGACCACTTATTGTTACTCAGTAACATTTACTGTGCTTTAAAAAAATCCACATTTGCCACTTTGTTTTGGTTAAATCCTCTAAAAACTTCCAACCTATAGCTGCATCTATCCTCATCTAAACTTGACAGTAAGTTTCCTGTCCAAACCATTTCAAAATCTCACCCCAAGGTTTGGTGATACGTTGGCAGCCCTGTAGGGTATCCAATTGCACTGCTTAAAATGAAAAATTCATGTATTTTCTAGTATTTTCATTTTGTTTTACTTTTTCTTTTAAAAATGATGCTGGAAATATTTGCATAACTCTTGAATTTTGCAACATTTTGCCAGGTTACAAACAAAAGCTTAGTTTTAATTTGGCATCCCGACAGCGCTGTTCTGAAACACCTTTCCTAAACAGGAATGATTTGCTTTCTGTTTAATTCCAGTCTTAGCGTTTGTTGGAGGGAAAAATGACTTGTAGGATTTATTTTTTCCCCACTTACCTTTAATAAGAATCTTTTCCATAAAAGCCAGGTTGTGTACAGAGTTTTTTTCCCTTTCCACACTGCAGTGTTCTACAGTTTCATCAGATTTTCTGACATTCAGGTGGGCGAATTAATCCAAAATATTAACACCAAGTTATCAGTCTTGGATGGAAGCTGTCATGGTGAGATCGATGCCTTAGTTTTAAATTGTTTTAATCTTGCATGCACTGCTGCAGATTGGTCCAAAAGGCATTAGCCTGTTATCATGTGTTCTGCATAAGGCCCAAAGTGAGGATTCATATGATTTTTTTTAATACATCATTTACTGTTTGACACTTTTATGCACTTTTTAATTTTTGTGAAGTCCAGAAAACTGCACTCAAAAGCAGAAATGTTATTTTTGTTATATTTTATTTGAAACTTGGTAAATCAAAATAAGATACAAAGAAACAGTGATACTGTTCCTTTTTTTTTATTGATACCAAAATGAGTACCTACTGCTGACCTCTAGTTACAATGTGCACTTACCAACTTGTCTTGATTTTGTTCCATACACTATATTTTACAGGATAGAGTTGACTGAGCTTCTTGACACCTGGAAATGTTAGATACTCCATCCTTGCTCTGAATTTCATTTGAGTTGTTTGATCCTTGGTCTTTGTGATACTGTTTTATATCTTTTTCAGAGCTGTAGTAATATTTTGATTAATCGATGCAAAGATTTTTTTCCCCTTAATTACGGTGACATTTAGAAGCAGTTGGGTGTACTAGATTCTCTTTAGGGGTACTAGTGTAAAGAAGCAAAACTCCTATCCATGGCCATATTTTAGGACTGATTTGATGGGGTATAAATCTAAAAAAAAGTGTTTTATCAGGTTGCCACCATCAGGCGTTAGCACCATTATCCACCAATTGGTGTTAGTCTACCACTTAAAATCCCCAAATCCCAGTAAAACAATGTTTGTGGTTGTAATAGCAAAAATTCAAGATGTGTACATATTCTTGTAAAGCATGAATTGGAACATGAAATACTTTTAATAGCAGTAGAAGTTTCGCTTAGTTTCTGCTCAGTTTTCCATGACTGATTTGCTTTTTGTCTTGCCAGCGTCTCTGCTGCTGCAGCTGCAATTCAGAAGATGACCAGAGTACGCGTGGTTGACAACAGCTCACTCGGAAATACGCCATATCACCGGCCGCCAAGAGTGATCCACGTCTACACGAAGAACGGTGTCGGGAAAGTCGGTGACAAAGTGTTGCTGGCCATTAAAGGGCAAAAGAAGAAAGCCCTCATCGTTGGACACAAAATGCCTGGAGATCGCATGACTCCACGCTTTGATTCCAACAATGTTGTTCTGATTGAGGACAATGGCAACCCTACTGGAACAAGGATTAAGGTCCCTATACCAACAAGTCTGCGTCAAATGGAAGGAGATTACTCTAAAGTTCTGGCAATTGCTAGCACATTTGTCTAATTCCATCTTGTTTGACATGTATACCTTTAGCTTTTGAATGTTCTTTTATAAAATGGAAAAGCTTTATTATTTTGCTGCCACCTATCAAGAATTAAAGTTTTATTTTACTTGTATTACATTTTACTGAGTTCTGATGTTTACAGCAAATATGACCTTCACCTGAAACATGGTCATCTGCTGCACTGCAGTTAAGTGGGTCAAAATACAGATTACAAAACACTTTTTTGGGGGGCGGGGTCAGTATTTATTAAAGGCACAACATACATTAAAAAGACATAACAGATGAGTGGCACTTAGACTACTGCTACTTTGGCAACTAGTATATTAAAAAAAAAAAATACTTCAGTATAAGCAATCGATATGAGATGACTTCACTGGTGGCTCCCTTCAACTAAAGCTCAGTGCAGATTATGAAAAAAGTTAATTCAAACTATATTTAATACTGAAATTAGGGAAGCAACGTTAAATTGAAAGGTTATCTCTCTCTACCGCCACCTTGAGGTGGGGGTTTGAAGGTACACATGAAATTGTGAGGATTATATTGATAGGCAAAATGACACAATTACAGTATTATCACGATTTGGTGTGTAATAAACTATGGTAACATAAAACTAATATTAAAATAAACTTGGTAAAAATATCCATTATTAATGCAGAATTCAGATTGTGTATCATGCAAAGGCACATGCTATTCTCATGGAAGGATTTCCCCCCGTTTGTCTTGTTTTAGTTATGGCTTTGCATAGCTTCTAACTTAAACCCAGAACAAACTTGGCTTTAGTGCACTTTGGTTTTGTTTTACAGCTCTTGCAATGAGGTGGGGGGTTTTACATCCGGACAGATCCTTGCAGCAGCAGGCATTATGTTTTCACATCTTTCTCTGAAACTGCGAAGCTCTTTATCCACACATGGTCAGATAAAGCCACTGAATAAAGAATGAGAAACAAGAGTTAAATAAAAGAAGAGTTTTAAATAAGGTTTGTCTTTATGACATCACTCACCTCTGTGAGGTTCATCTCAGCTACTCCTGATCCCTCTTTGTCAAAGTGCTGAAAGGATCCTGTCAAATTAAAATGTGTACCACATTAACAGTGGTTTGGCAGCATTTGCTTTTTTTTTTAACACATTTTCTCATGCTAGAACCACTAAAATCACTTCTATGTGATGGACCAATGCAAAGTATTCAAAATCTCTACAGTACGAGGTAATTTGAACATAATTTCCAAATGATTTCTATCTAAAATGGCTTACAGCATATGTAGTATTCATCCCCTTTCAGTGAACATTTTGAGACATGTCTCAGTGCTACTAGTTCCTTTGGGGAATGTCAACCAGCTTTGGTTTTAAATTGGATTTAGGTCCGGGACTTTTACTGAGCCATTCTAAGCTTATTACAGGCCTAAATCAGGGATGTGCACTTTTATCCTCAAGAGCTAATTTCTTGCATGTTTTAGATGTTTCTTTGTTCAAACAAAACTGTTTGAGGTGCCTCAATTACCTTCTCTCTGACATGTTAGATAACTGATGGAGGATAAGCTGTTCCTGTTCAGTTAAACAACATTTAATATTATTTAGTAAATTCATTCAACCAATAGATTTACTTGTCTGACTTTTAAAATGGGCAGAAGACTGTAAAAACTTTGCTGAGTTAGGTCTTGTAATGAACTTTGACTCAAATGTTAAACCAGGGAATCGTTTAAGAACAGACCAGAAGAAAAAGGCTCTTTTTAACGAACATCAGGCACTACAGATCTAAACCATTTCTTCACAGCTTTGGCCCCATCTTAGGCTTTTGACACCAGTAACAGATTTTCTTCCAGTAATGTCCTGCACATGGCAGTCCTGCAGGCACACATGTATGCCAAAGAGTTTGATTTTGGTCTCAGATAAGTAGAGCACCTTCTTCCACTGGTTTTCTGGTACCCAATCTTTTCTGTTTTTTTTTTTTTTTTTTTTTTTTTTTTTTTTTTTTTTTTTTTTAGCTAAATGTAAACTTTTTATGGATTTCTTTCAACAACAAAAGATCCCAGATTGTAAGTGTATTATTGACAGATTCCCCACTTGAGCAGTGAGTCTCTATAGCTCCTCCAGAGTTACCCGTAAGGCTTTCGACTACTGATTAATCATGAGATGCTTGAGGCCAAAGGTCCACTTCTATATCTGTAATTCTTTTAAAACTTTATAACAACTTGATTTCTTAATGTTTGGCACCATTTGTGTTGGTATAAAATACATTTTTGTGTGGTTATAGCATGGAGAAATAAATAAAAAGCTTAGTGATATGGCTAGTCTTACAAAGTACATATATTTTAATAATCTGTATAAAGAATTACTTACTGAACATTGCTTCAAGTTTGACCAAGCAGCAGATGAAGTTATCAAAATCAATCAGTTCATTCTCAGCATACCGAGCCACCAGTATCTGATGCAGCTGATTGTTTAGTTTGAAGCCTGTACAGAGACATAGTATAAGTTAAAATTACAGAAGTTTTTTTTACTTATTTAAAGCATTACTGTTTATGTTGGGCAACAATATGGCCATGATCATTATACCTGCTGCTTCCACAGCAAGTCGCAGCTCATATGAGCTCATGGCACCTGACTTGTCAAGATCAAAGTCCCTGAAAATGACCTGGAAAATAGAGGCACAATTTAAAAAAGAAGTATAGAGATTATCATCTCGGCACCAATTTTCTTTATTTCTTACCAGCCACTTTCGAATTTTGTTCCACAGGATCTGGAATTCAACCAATCCTAAACGAGCACTGCCATCTTTCTGGCAAATATCGTCAAGGCATCAAACAACAGACAGTTTCAAAGAGTTCGAGAGCTGAAAAAAAAATGCACAGATTTCCCTAAAATGATCAGGGGTAAACTAGCTTATTGTTGGACAATAAATCAAAAGGATACATCCATCAGGTTGACCATAGTTCTGCATGATTCTATACTGAAGCCATCAGTCTGTAGATCTTTGTCTGAAACAGCAACATTTTAGATTTAAAGTTTGATCAAAGTAGAAATAAAGGTTTATGAGGCAGTTTGAGAAATTATGTACAAACTGAACTCTGACAGATACACTGATGAGCAGTAGGACCTTAAAGCAACACTCAGTAACTTTTAGCCACTAGGGGGCGCTAGATCTGTAACCTTCAGATTAACATGACCCGGTCAGCAAGGGATCCAACCCACTAAAGTTACATAGGTGTGTTTTTGAGGAGAGTATATCAACCTGAAGAATCATTTAATACTTCTCAAATGAAGCTAAAAGATGGGTCAAAAGTTACACAGTGTTTCTTTAACACAATTGTTATAGAAATGTCATGAGAGCTGAACAAAACTACATTTCGTTTTGTATACAAAATGACAATAAAGTTTGTCTAAGTAAGTTAAACAGAAAACTCACGGCGGGTGACCACTCTGTTGAGAATTGTCCTGAGCTCACGAACAGAGATCTCCATATCCTAATAAACCACATAGGGAGGGAAATAAGCAGGCATTTCTTTTTTGTTTTTTAATCACATTAAAATCCTGATTTCAGCTTTGCGGTTCTAAACCTTAAAATTGTTGGAATACAATCATAAATCCAATTTCTTTAAACTTCCATTTCATCTTATGACCTACCTCTCCTGCTAGTTGGGCAAACATGGACTTAAAGGAGTCGTCAATATCATCTTCTGTTACTTCCTCCTACAATAAAAATAACTATTAAAAAAAAAAGACATCTATACTTTTCCAGCAATTACTGCAGAAAAGAAAAGTCAGCTCCAGCTAAGCATTCCTGATGCACACCTCATCTTCAAAATCAGCAGTCACTTCATCATCCAGTTCTCTGCAACAAAAGTAAATATTTAGTTCGTATGGTTTATAAACACTAAAAAAGAATATGTGAGAAGATACTTACTCTGTCTCTGATTGCTTTTCAGTGAAAACCCTGAGTACAAAGTCCGCCTCTTTGCCTGGTTCAAAGGTTGAGGGCACGATGAGGTACTCCCCGGGGGGCAGCCGCAGGCGGGTGCTCACCTCACGCAGGTTGATGAAGGTCTCTGATCGGGTGCACGATGAGTGACTCAAGAAGAAGTTTTTTTTCAGGTGGACATTTTGGCAGCCTCTGTACTGAGGGCAGCAGGAGACAAATGACTTAATGTGGGGGTTTTTTTATGATTACACACCAATTAATTTTAAACAATGAAGTGTGCTTACATTGTGATTTCCTTACTATCAGTTGTAATTTAAGGAGCTTGTTAAAAGTATATGCAACCTTTTACACGCCAAGAACAAAATACATTCTTCAAAACTATTTTTTTTAAACAAGTTTTTCTTTTCTTGTGTACATTTTTTATGTGCAAGCAATTTCTGCTGACTCTCCTGTCCAAGCTCAAGGGACAAAAGATGAAAGGAGAACATGTATTTGAGACCTTTTAGAAAACCATAAGAAGCCATGTTGAGCTGCACACCCCTATGTAGGGATGAGAGAGTGAGATTCCTCTTGCAGCAACTCACATGTTTTCTTTGTTGTTACAGGATGACAACAGCTAATTACATCTTAATGATAGAGCAGCTTTAGTAAATGTTTTTACAGTTTTGGTGCAAAGCTTCAGTCATCGAGTGTAACTAAACACAACTAAACCTGGTCTTATCCATCCAGTGGGTGAGCGGCAGGTTACACCATGGAAGGGTCACCAATCCATCGCATTTTACTGCACAAAATAGTGCAGCCAAGCGCACCACTGAGCAGCCTTTGAATTAAGACATTTCTATAATCATGGCCGATAATGTAATGACTTCCCAGTATAGTATAATTTTGGCAACAGCGTATAGCATCACATGTTTGTAATTACTGTCACAGAATGTCCTATTCTAGTGAACTGCATTGAGGGAACTAACAACCAATTGGTCTTTACATAAATAAATCAAATATCTTTTCACAAATTAAATCTTGTATATAAATTATGCAACGTTAGGAAACACCAATAAATCTGACCTGATTATGACCCTGCACTCGGGTAAAATTAAATTGTTTTCTATTGGCTGTCCTTTTTAGGAAAGTGATTTTGATTGAAATGTGACAGATACTCCTCCATCGGATATTTGAAGCCAGCAGAAGCAGACCATGGACGC